CTCCAATTCCCCGAAACACATGAAAACTGGTTGAGGGAACTCCCACGTACCCTCCAGGATCCTACTGATGGTGTCGAGCTGGTCTGCGATAATCACACTGCTTTTCCTGGATTCGGGGTTTAACCTCGAATCCAGAGGTTCCTCTCCAGAACCTCTGAAAAGACCTTACCGGGGATTCTTAAGAGTGTGATCCAACAACAGCAAAGTCGATCATCGAACTGCAGTATAAGGTTGTCCTGGTGCCAAAGCAAATATGGACACCCTCATGCCTGAACATGGTGTTCGTTATGGACAGTCCATGACGGGCACAGAGGTCAAACAATGAAACAATACTTGAGTTACGCCTGGGCGGGTCAATTCCCCCCAAATACACCCTTCAAGGTATCACTGTCATTGGCCACGTGAGCATTGAAGTCCCTAAGTAGAACAAGGGAGTTCTCCAGCACCACTTCTAAGGACTCCAAAAAGGGTGGGTAATCTCAACTGCTGTTAGGTTCATGAGTACAAACAAGCATCAGCTGAAAATAGCTGAAATTCCAACGTGCTGTGTTCCCTAACTTAATGTGTTTTGTAGGATGATGTTTTCTTTTCCCTACCTGAGCTGATCCGTTCCCCTAAAGGTAAAAAATACAGTCAGTGATGAGATTCAAAAAGAAACTCTGACAGTCGTTCCTGCCCTGTCACATTGAGCACAAATCGGTCTGAACGCAGTAGAACCTCTCTGCTGTGGGGTGTTTTTCTTTTGTTCAGGTAAATCTATCACACAAAGCAAAAGTCCAACCAGTCATCACCTATCAGGAAAGCAAAGAACACTCTATCAGCTCTTAGGTTTCATGAATGAGGCCCAAGCAGACAATCAGATCTTAAATGAGGTAAAAACAGAAGGAAATAGGGTCCTAAGAGATCACACAGGAACTTTCATCATCAAAGTGTGAGTGTGAATCTACATAACTTAATAAAGGTGTAATGCTCCAAAGTGTAACTTGTGTGGAGCTGTACATATTATCT